GCAGTGGGAAACTGGAGGGGAAAAGGGCTGGAGGTTGGGGTGGACCCACCTCGGTGCTGGCTGACAGCCTTGCGATCGAATCAATATCGCATCGTGTGCGGGTGTCCCGAGCCCGAGGAATTTGTTGGCCGAAAGCATGTGCTGGTGTTTGCGAAATGATTTGTTTATTATTCCTGTTGTTGATGTTTTTGTTCGGCATACGATTATATATCTTCCCATTTTTTTTTTAGTTTCTTGACATGGCGACGACAGCGACAACGAGGAAAGTTCATATAGAACTCGCAGGCGGCGGTGAATGCCGGACAAACAATGGCCAACTTGGCTCTATGAATCCACCAATAAGACGAGCCAGGTCCAGTGGGCTCATCTTAAAAAATTCACGTTTGGCCTGTCCCCGAAACCCAACGAAACAATGGCATCCGAATGCTCCGCCAATGGGTGAGGTGCTGTTCTCTCTCCTTGGAGAAGGTGGATCCCGTTCACCGTTTTCCAAAGACCACCGTTGACATTGATACATTGCCGGGCTACAGCGTTTGATCGCTGTGCTGCCATTGTTGCCTTTTTGGTTGGTATTCCGTTCAGTTGCAAAGCTTCTGTGCTGCTGCCCATTGGTTGCAGTGTTCGATCAGGCGAGCTAAATAGCAAACTGGAGAGTGGGCTTTTTTCGGCCAGCCAGAAATTTAATACCCTGCAAGCGTCTTAAGGATGGCAGTAAAAGGGTAGAGTCTCCTAAAAATGTATATATTTCTCACCGGATTTTTAAATTATTATCTTTTCCCTTTTCAAAAATAGTTATATAAGAAATAATCATCCAAAAAGAGTGATAACTGGCCAGTAAGTGATTTAAAACATGTCAAAAATCTCATTTGCTTATCATATTTCAATGAAATAGCTCCCTGAAAAGCAAATTAAATCAGATAATTCTTTGGACTCTCTGCAGCTTATAAAAATATATGTAGCTACCACATCGAATATCTATTTAAAGCCATTTCGAGAACATTCTTCTAATTATGCTATAGCTGGTCGCATTTGGATTTTTTTTATTGTTTTCGTAGAAGGCACTTAAACACTCTCCGGATTGATTGTTTATTTGGACCACTCGCTAATAGGTCGCTGGTGGCGGAGAGGTGGACTTGCTGTTCCCGTGCCCATGCCAACTGTTTTGACGGATTGTAAACCCATCGACAGCACATTGGGGCACTCAGCGTCCAATTGATTTACAACAACGGGCAACCAACGGACTGTGGGCAGCGCACGGGCCCAGGCCACACAATTGTGGCCAAAAAGTGGCCTACAGCAGAATCCCAGCCCCATCATCATCATCCAATCCCACCCCCTGCAGGGCCGGTGGCGATGGAAATAATTCAAATATCGACAAACAGAGCAGCGGAATCAAAATACCACAAATCGCGGCTCGTCCACATCCCAAAGATACATAAAACTGTGGAGAGCGCTCGACTATGGGATCTCGTCCGATGTTTGTTTGTTTGCTTCAAGTGGGAAAAGAGTGGAATGATGGCGAGGGTGGGCCTCTGCAGTTATGTCGCCCGAGGTGGTACGGCGACCTAATATTAAAATTAATTTTGAAATCGGTTCTTAGACGACTAAACACCACATTTAGGTGACCGAAAGTAAGTTTTTCTTAATGAATTTTAAGGGAACAAACGAATCCAATCAAATTCAAAAATATGTTTATACCAATGGGTATAAATATGCAATAGTTTTCAAGATTTATATACTAATTTAAGTGATTTAATAGCCATTTGTAGATCTATAGTTAGAAATTTTAATACAAAATTCTTTCACAACAAAGTTCAAGAAACACTGAAACTTAATTTAATTAATAATGTGTGGTGCTAAGAATGTTTCGTATTAACTAAGGTCGGTCTAGTTATCATTACATTATTTTATTTTAAGTTTACTTTAATAATAATTTCTGGACTTGTGGTTAGATTTACTGTAGAGCAGTCATAAGAATTGGTTAGATTTACTGCAGGAATTTTTTCTCTGTAATAAATATACAATATTTGTGTTCAAGTATCTGCATTTATAGACTTCGTATTGAATGGAGACTTGCATATTGATTAAAAATGATTATCCGTTGATCGCACAACTGCAGTTGCAATTCGGACCGGTGGCTAATGTGTTCTTAAATTGGTCATGAGTAGATTCCGGCAAACTTCCCTATTTATCTGCTGGCATCTATGTCCGGCAAAATCCAGAATCGTAATCAACTTTCTTTTAGTCCGAAGCATAACAATGGAAAAGTGCTTTCCCCTCGATTCGTCCTGTACGCTCACTGCCTCCCCCGAGTACCATTAAAAAAGTTAACCATCATAAAGTCAGAGGCGAGGAGAGCCCTGGGCCGGTTGTATTGGGTTGCCAATACAATGGACAATGAGAACATAAATCAGTGTAATTAATAGAAAACTAGCCAAAGCCAAAGCCAAAGCCGATCCGGTCCGATCCGACCCGATACGTTCATCGATCCCCACGCATGAGCTGGCACTGGAGCACGTGTGCGGATTCCATTTTGGTCATTCGGGCTTGAAATACCAAATTGCCAAAACTTGTAGCCTCATTAAAAATTCGAGTCGGGGGAGAGCCAAGACCGATCTACGCACCGAGGGAAAACTATGTATGTTTATCAATATTTATGCCCCGTTTTCCCCTCAAACGCTGTGCTCTCGTATATTGTAAACATTTTCGGATGCCAGCGCTTTTTCATTATGCGTTTTCGAGTGGGGTTTCTCCCATTTATCTCACAGTTCAATGCAAACGCATAAATCGCTCATCGCCCGGGGCAATGCGATATATCAATTTCGAATTAAAATAAATATTTAAAGTGTATTTTTAACCAATTACAATTTATTATGGGGCAAAATATTTGATTCTGCCTGCCCAGATTTAGCCCGGGAACATCAATCAACCGGGCCACGAGGTCGTCTCCAAGGAACTAATTCATTCATTTGCCGAGCACCAAATCACTGGCCATTCTTCTGCCAAATGTCCGGCCAGAGAACGGACCCCAAATGGATCAAAAGCCCCGGGAAGGGGTGTGTGGGGGGGGGGTGGTTTGTAATAAAAAAAGAGTCACCTGCAATAAGTCAGGGGCAAAACTCAAGCAAGTTGTTGACTGGCTGCTGCTGCTGCCTTGTCCTTCAAATTACGGCCTGATTAGACTCGTGGGACATCCTGGCCGAGTGCAAAACCATTCTCATCTGTTGCGGCTGACTGGGAGATGGACCCTGCGGTGGGTCTCGTCCAGATTGATGAGCTCTGCGGCTTCCTTTAAGCAGCAAAACCTGATAGCGAAGGTGATAAATATGTGGCTATGCATACATATGAGTCCTGTTACTTTAGTTGAATGGAAATAGATGAATGTAAACGGAGGCAAATTATTCCGGAGTCAAACTTCACGGGAACGAGGAATTTGTCACCTTTTAGGTTTAAAAAAGTTTAGTGCCATCTCGAATCCATAAAAATTAGTATGAATGTTAATTGAAGTTTAGGGTCTAGTGATGAAAATATGTAAAAATTCTTTAATTAAGCCCAATGAAATCTGAAGAAATTGCTTGCAAATCTATGAAATGTATTCATATGAAAACAAAAGTAGCATATAATGGAAGCTAATTTTATAGCCTTAGTTTAAACCAAACGCGATCGTGTGACAAAAGTCTGAAATCAATTGACAGCTCGGCATAAATTATTGCCCCGGCAGAGCGTTAATCGCACATTTGACTCGCAGAAATCGAACTGGGATCGGGGCAGCTTAAACGTTTGGCAAATCGCTGACTGTGAGCCAGGGCAGCGTCGCCGAGAAGCGACAACTTTGTTCCAGTGATAATCATCACGAATGCAGGAGGAGCAGAAGCAGTCGCAGTCAAATCGGGCAGAATCGGAGAACGCATCGAGACCTGCAACTGGCCAGAACATAGTCAGCAACATAAATAATTCGCCTTAATGAGATCGCAATCTTGGCGATTTGCGACAAAAACACACTCGGTTTCATCTCCCTGCACTCAGATACTCAGTTACAGATACAGCGATGTGTAAATATGTGAGTGCTGTGCGAGTGGTGTGATCACTAAGGGAGATGAAGATGAGCAAAAGCTGAGATTCTCGATCGAGCCACAAATCCCCTATGACGATCCTTGAGCTCAGCACCCAATCGATGCAACAGCGCGGAATGATCGCAAGCTACCAAATCGTACACTGAGGGAAAATCGTTATACTGGCAACTGTAAGAATGTTAGAAGAAGTACACACATTCACGGGCTTTCATATACGCTTTAGCTTTAACTTAACTTTTATCCTTTTTTTATTTGCTTTTAGAATTGCTTGCATTTTCAACTAACCAAAAGAGCTAGCATTTATACTCAAAGTAGCGCTGGTTAGCATTTTCTCTAAAGAATCTTCACAATTTAAAACACAGAGATTTCTCCAAGTGCAGCCCTTGTTTCTGCTGCTCTTCGCTGCTGTTGCGCTCATGTTGGCTGTCAGCTCGCTTGACTTGTTGCTTCTTTTCCACCGCACCGCTCCGGCTACACCTATTCTCCGGTGTGTGTAGCCGACTTGTTGACATGCTCAGCGTGTTCAGGCTTACAGCCGGTTCACCAGCAGTCAGTTGAGCATTCTATAGACGTCAATATGTAGGTTCCGGACCTTATCTTCTAGGTCAGAAACGATTCGACTATAATATATGGTAAGCCTCATCCCTCATCCCGAAAAGTTTACCTCGAACATGGGGAAAACTAACTATTTTTAAATAGGAATAACTCAATTCGAACCACAATTAAATGTCCTAAGCCCTAGTTTGACTTCCGTTTTTTTTTTACCGTTTTTTTATAAAAATGAAACTAACTAAAATAATATGCAAAGTTACCACCTATGTTCCGTTCCTATGGTACAAATCAGATCATATTTGAGAATAAAAAAGCGTTACATCTGGTTCTAAAAGATAAGAGCTTTTTTATATTTTCCTAAATCTAGATACATTACGTTGATTCCAGGGATGTCAATTGAATAGAAAAATTCCAAATTTCCAGATATCTTTGTTCTAAATTTAAAAATGAATTTTTTTTTTCTCGAATCATGAAAAACAAGTTTCTGTCTTTTTCTGAAAATCGGGTCGCGGTGTCCAGGCCACAAGCTTCGATTAATCGGCCCACGAATGAAGCACCTCCGGCTGCTGAGGAAAGACACCTAAGGATTGTGTATCCCGAGGCTCGAAAGGATAGTAATGCGGAGGAAATGATTCATGAATATCGAATTAGGGATGTTTACCGTTGGCTTGAAAACCCGGACTCGGCAGAAACGAAGAGATTTGTCAATGCCCAAAACAGCATCAGCCAACCGTTTCTGGAAAGATGTGATGAGAGGGGAATGATCAATACAAAACTGACAAAGCTCTGGAATTTCCCGAAATTCGGATGTCCCATGCGTCACGGTGATTTCATCTATTTCTTCAAAAATACTGGCCTGCAGAACCAAGGTGTTCTGATGCAGCAGGAAACCTTGGACGGCCCGGAGATTGCCTTTCTCGATCCCAACAGCCTAGCCGCTGATGGGACCGTAGCTTTGAGTCAGCAAAAATTCTCCGAAAACGGGGCTTTTATGGCTTACGGACTGAGCGAAAGCGGTTCGGATTGGAATAAAATACGCATTCGGAGGGCTAAGGAACGCACAGACTTTCCGGAGGTCCTGGAGAAGGTCAAGTTCTCGAAGGTCTCCTGGACGAAGGACAACAAGGGCTTCTTCTATGGGCGATATGCCGACCAAGACGGCAAAACTGATGGATCGGAGACCAAGCAAAATGAAAACCAAAAGCTATACTATCATCGGGTGGGGGAAAGTCAGGATCAAGATACATTGGTGGCAGAGTTTCCGGAACATCCATCTTGGCGCATTCAGCCTGATGTATCCGACTGCGGAAAATACCTAATTTTATCCATTAGCCATACCGTCCGGGATAACATGGTGTACTATGCCGACTTAACAGAGGGAGAGGAGATCAATTCAAAACTTACGGTCAATCCGGTTGTTGATAAGTTTGAAGGAGACTACGACTACATAACTAACGACGGATCGGATATGTATTTCCATACAAACAAGGATGCGCCCAACTATCGGGTGGTGGTCATCGATTTTGCGAACCCTGCCGAGGAAAACTGGAAAACTCTGATACCCGAACATGAGAAGGATGTTCTGGATTGGGCGAAATGCGTAAATGAGGACAAGCTCGTGGTTTGCTATAATCGGGATGTGAAGAACATTCTGCAAGTTTATGAGTTGAGAACAGGAACACTCATCCGACAATTCGGCTTGGATATTGGAACTGTTAATGCAATTTCAGGCAAAAGAAAGTACTCGGAAATTTTTTACAGTTTCTCATCATTCCTTACGCCAGGCATAACCTATCACTACGACTTCGCCAAGCCCCTTGAGAAGCCCAAGGTCCTGAGAGAGATCACACTTAACCTGGAGGGCTTTAACCGCGACGATTACATCGTGGACCAAGTTTTTTATAAGAGCATTGATGATACCAATATTCCCATGTTTATCATACGAAAGAAGAGGGACACAGTAGAGCCCCGACCTTGCCTAATGAGCGGATATGGTGGATTTAATTACAGTTTAATGCCGTCCTTTGGCATCACTGGTCTGATGTTCATGGACACATTCGACGGTATCCTGGCCTTTCCCAACCTCAGAGGAGGTGGCGAGTACGGCATCAACTGGCACAATGGAGGAAGGCTGTTGAACAAACAAAACGTGTTCGACGATTTTCAGGCTGCTGCTATGTACTTGGCCGAGAACCATTACACTACGAAGGATCGGTTGGCCATACAGGGTGCCTCGAATGGTGGTCTCTTGGTGGGTGCCTGCATCAATCAGCGCCCGGATCTCTTCGGAGCAGCAGTTGCCCAGGTTGGAGTCATGGACATGCTCAGATTCCACAAGTTTACCATAGGCCATGCTTGGTGCTCGGACTACGGCAACCCCGATGACAGGGAGCACTTTGCTTACCTGTTCAAATACTCCCCGTTGCACAACGTACACTTTCCATTGAACCCGAATGAGGAGTACCCCTCGACCTTGATCATGACGGCCGACCACGACGATCGCGTCAGTCCCCTGCACTCCCTTAAATTTGCCGCAGCTCTCCAGGAAGCCGTACGGCATTCGGAGTATCAACTGAATCCTATTCTGCTGAGGGTCTACACGAATGCTGGCCATGGAGCTGGAAAGCCGACTAGGATGCGCATTAACGAAGTCACTGATATAATGACTTTCCTCAGAAAGACCCTTAATGTTGATATCGTCAATCTTTAAGGAGCCAATATTTCAGACTTCCGGGATTGGATACATATAAATATAAAACTTATTAAGGCCAACCTTGAATTTATTACTCAAGTGAAACATATGTACATCTACTGAATATTCTCCGCTATCTTTAGGAAACTTTACTCGCTGTCGTTAATCAAATGTTTAATCAATTTAAATTTCAGTTTAATTAGAAAAAAAAGGTGCCCAAACATCGCAGCTGTCACGGCGGAGATGCTTCCATTCAGAGCAGTGCCGCAGTTCCCTGGCTCTGTAATCGCATGATAGTCGGGCGATTAACGCTCAATACGGTCGCTGAGCATGCGATATATATGTGAGGGGTTTACGGCTAGGGAGAATCCGCGGACCCGTGCATAGGGGGGCGGAAACAGAAGCTGCCAGAGGCGCTCCGAAGGCAGCTTCTGCCCACAGACGCTGGGCGGAGAGCGTTTATGCTGTTGGTAGTGCCTGCTGCCAACTTCGGGCACCCAGCATGGGTCTGCGGGTCCCTCTGGCAACCTTTGGTATCGGGGAAACGCGATCGAAAATGGATTTGTATCAATATCGACTCACTAACATGATTCCAATAAATTAATATGCATACATGGCAGGCACACAGACAGCGACTGTTGTCTGGCTCGACTCGAGGCTCGAGCTCAGAGACCGGAGTCTGCAGATCTCGATCGACATCGCAACACGATGATGCATGTGCAGTGTCTCTGAGTTGTGATCGTGTTAATGTAAATAATTGCCAGGCAGTCGAACGAGGCCCAGTCGTACAGTACAGTACGGTGTGGTAGATGTAATTAAAATCTCTCCGCTTCTCACTTTCTGTCTGCATTTTGTCCAGCTTGTTTGGCGTTGGCCAAGGGAGATCCCTCTTGGCTGATATCAAAGTACGCGACATACACGCAAGGCTGTTTTTCTCCTCTCTGCCTCGTTTTCTCTTCTTATTTTGGGAGCTTGATGCTGACAGTTCACGAGTCTGGCTGGCATCTGGTGCGATTTGCGGGGATTGAATTCCGAAGTTGTCAATTGAGGCAGCGAGGTGTCTAATTGGCTTTGTTATTTGTACAAGTGCGAGCCAATTTAGGGGTTGGTTCTTCCATAGATCGCAATTAATTTCGTTAGTTTTTGATATCATAGCTTTGGTAATATTAATTCCGATGATCAATATCATCTTCATAGAAAGACAGACATTTTATTTAGTTGTAACTATACAATCCAAACGTAGTCTTATCATTTTCTTTAAGAATTAAGTTCCCCTTACACTCTGTACCCTGGGAAAACTTGCAATAATCTTTCATCGATTGGAGGTTGATGCAAATTCCTCCACCTTTGGATGCATAATGGTGCACGTGACCCAAACTGAGAATCCAAAACGAACAAGGTCTGAAGTTTGGGTTCTGTTTCGGTTGCTTCCTTCACTTATTCGTATGTCAAGATGGCCAAAAGACTTCGAGGCGAGGCCCTTGTGTTGAAACATTCTACTGTCTCTGGCTTATTTATGGACGCAGATGCTAAAGATATTGGTCCAGACGAGGACGAAGCCGTCCAAGACGAGTGGCCGAATAACTAACTCACTTCTCACTTTGCGGGGATTCCTTTAGTTTTTAACAGATATTGGCAAGCGATGGCGATGTTAGTTCACAGGAGTAGCAACAAACTGAACAACAATTTCTATAGTTAATAAATAATTTAATAAGGCCAATGCTAAGTTTAGTTTTGGGGTTTTTAATAATTTGTCGTTTAAAGTGTTTTTGTTTTTAAATTTAATGACTTTGGTAAAGACCAATATATGCTATGCAATATATGTGGCATCCTTAAAAAGGGAACCATACTATTCATAGCAAAACCAAAAACTTATTAACAAGTAAGCAGTGGTGATAAGACAGGAATCTGGATAACATTTCACTTTGTTGCAGAAGAGTCACGAACGCAGTAAGTTTTTCAGCTCAGTCGCCGATCTCGACACCGATTCTGATTCCAGATCCCAGCTCTGATCAGTTAAGTTGTCAATCAGATTTACCGATCCGTGGACGCGGCCCCTTCTATCTTGTCAGCCAAAGTCGCAATGTCATTATTTGTGGGAACCAATCCAGAAGAGAGTTTTTATATCACGCGGCCTGCGCAAAATCGAGAATCATTGCTTGAAACTCATGGCGGAGTAAACGCGAGTCGCAGCAATCAATCAATCACAGGCACAAATCAAACATGTCAGATTCGAGCTCGACTCGAATCGAGTCTTGAGTGGCTGTGGAAACGAGTCCAACTCGCACAATGGCGTACATATTTGACAGATCGATAGTGTATACATTGTCGATCCCAGCTCTGCACACCTCTTGAGAGGGTTTCGCTCGACTTGTTTCGGTTTCGTTTCTTAAGTTATTTATATTCGTTGGATGGATCTTCGATCATAGTGAGCCTCGAGTGCAGCCACAGTTGAGTGTACAAATAAAGGTTAATGAGCTTTTTCCCAATCTGATGTTGGGTTTCTTTGTCAAAGAGAAATTACCTCTTCTGTTTATATACAAGTAGGGAGTGTTATTATGCGATATCAATGCTGAAAAGAAGCCACAGAGAATAAAATTTTATATCGTAAAAGGAATACATTCCTCTAGTATTTCTATTACTTCAAATTATATGCCTTAAATTTAGCCAATTTCACTATTAAATTTCCTATTATTTTTATGTTAGTTATGGTAGTCGTAGGAATTCGATCAAAAATAAATTATTAAAGATTTTACATTGAAAAACTCACTTATGTCTGGAACATTCCTATGGCTGGTGTATGATATAGAGTCCGATTTTGACTCGTCTGTTGATACTGATTAAGAATACATTGTACACCGTATAAGAAGAGTACTTACTTGATCGCCCTAAAATCAGCCGGCAGTTTTCTTCCGATTATCTCTATTCAACGCGCGTTTCCCTAATTGCAATGCAACATACAGACCCGTGGATGTGGCACACCTTTTCCCCTGATTTTTCCCTATTTGGCTTTCCCCTTTATTTACGCATCCCACCCCGCTGATCCTGCGGCGTCCCGATGTTTGTGTTCTGCAATTAAATTCGTATTCTCTTACAATTGAGGCGCTCAAGTGGAATTTCCACGAATATCATGGATATGGATACGCTGACAAGCAGATTGAGATGCAGACGCAGATGCCGATGCTGGGTGCTGGGTGCTGGGTGCTGAGCCGAAGCTGACTCGGAGGCAGCTGCATTCTGGTCCGGGACTGCTCCGCTGGTCTGGCCCGTTTGTTGTTATAGGCCCTCGCTTCTAGGCCGGTGCGTGTGTTTATACGGCTCTTGGTGTTATTTTTCCCCCTCAGCCCCTGCCACAGGACGGGCATTATCAATGGGGGAGGCTGCGGGGCCTCAAGTACCGTGCATATCAAAATAATCAAATTTTTGATTGAGTGCAGTTAGTGCGTCTGTGTTTACCCATTGTAGACGACGGTGATCGAGAGATCGATTCGGCTCATATTCATTGCCCTGAGGAGCTCGGTTGCGTTTTCGTTTGGTTTTCAGTTTTGTGTCCAATCATGTTGTTGATATTGATAATGACATTGATGGCATCGAGTTGGTCTGACTGACTATGGAGATGCACTGGGAGAAAAGGGGATCACCTTGTAATCCAATTTATACAAATGAAGCCCTGGAATGAACATTTTCTCTCAAGAAGCGGATTTCTTTTCTTCATTATTTGACTGCAAAAGTGAACAAAATTCATCACTCCATTCTTCACATTTTTTTTTCTCTGTGTTAGCTTCACATCATCAACTTGATCACAATCTCAAGAGCGAATGCATTCAGTTGTTTGCGCGGATTTTTTATTTTGAATTTTTTCACGTTGCCTGATGGTTGTCAATCCAGTGAAATCCGGCACAGTTCGGTGGAATCGAATATTGAATTCCACCCCAGCCACACGATGATGCTGACATTATCGAGACACTTAAAAATTTGTCTGCACCAGGGCATCCATCCATAGCACAATTTTCATTTAACTTAAGCGATAAACGCGCAAGTGCCAATGCTCAAGACACTCACCGAGCTCGCCCAGCACTTCTGTGAAATTGAAATTGTTTTCTCATCATTAGACATGCGATACTCTGGCCGATGAGGGTCTTGGCACATTTATCAGGCTTGTTGGCGAACCCGACTCGAGGCTGATTGATTCGAAGCACTTGACATCGGGGATCGGAAGATTGGAAGGGAGAAAGCTTTACTTCGGCATGATCGAGTTTATCGAATTGAATAATGCATACATAGTACCTTCGATATTTAAGCCAAAAAATCATTCTAATTATCATGAAAGAGTAAATTAATAACCTATACTTATTTTCCAAAGACCAAAAAACTATTCTTATATAAAAATTATTTTTAAAATTTAAAATACATTTTCATTATTAAGACTAGAAAAGTAAGAGAAACTAGACAGATGGTCCACTCCGATAGATTCCATTGACGAAATAAGGGCTCATTTATGTGAAACAATTGAAGCAATTAATTGAACACCCCGAAAACAATTTGCCATATTGTCGGTGACATCGGACAATTGTCAGTCACTGGGAGTGCCCGTGAGTAATTCGTCAGAAATAATAAGGGACAGACAGCGGAGGCGACAGGAGAAATCAGAAATGGCAGAATCAGAAAAAGATGTCTTTTGTTTTTGGCACACGGCCCGAAGTGCTGCGATTTTAACTGCAACGTGACTTGGAACTCTTTGCGGTTTTTCCTTTGATTGGCAATTTTTCAAAATCGTCACCATCGTCGATGCTCGGACAGGCACGCCCCGGGTCAGTCTCTGGCTCACTCACATGGGTGCACTGCAAGAAACGGTTTGTACATGGTTTAAGGTTAAATAAATGAAACGGGAGCTCAATGAAATGTAATGTCTCGGTTGTTTTCAAACTAGAAACATGTATTGCTTTTTTTACGTTTATGAGTAATTAAAAAGGGTTTGCAAGGTTGTAGCATTATCCAAGTTTCTCTGAGTGCACTCGCACAATCTGGTCGGCGGCTGGCGGCCGGAGGAGGTTTTGGTTATTTATAATTCGAAGCGATTGATTGATGGAATCGCTGCAAAGTCGGTGACACTTGGCACTGAGGCAAAAATAAATAACCGAAGCGATGCTGGGCGAGGCATTGACAGCTGATTGCGAAAGTCCATTAAGGGACTCGACTCTGGCCGAGGAAGCTGGACGAGGTGCTGGCCACGTAAGCCGAAGCCCGAAAGGATGGGATGGAAATGGGAGTGGATTCCAGAGTGGGAGCTGCTGCATCTGCATTGAGGTTTTGTGGCCATGGCAGCGGCATCAAAAGTGCAGTCAATCAAGTGAACAAAATTGGATAATTTACCCCCCCAGAAAAAAGTAACGTTACGTTTGGTATTACGACCCTGGAACACTACTGCCCGCCCTGCCCCCATACATACTATGTGTTTGTCTTTCTGATGTCGAGTGGTTGTTCTACCCAAATCAGGCAACACTCGTGAGTATTTTGGGGAATCCTTGCCAAAATGATAGCCCACCAGTGTCTGTTGTGGACAGGTGGCTTAATAAAGAGAACCAAGAAGATGCTTTGGCGCTGGGTGAAATTGTTAAGTGAAATCTGATTCAATTTTAACTTTTTTGATGGCCCATTGCATTGAGGGAAATTTAACATTTTACCTTTATTTTTTCAGTCAAATACACTGCTCAGTCGCTACCATTAGTACCATGTATTCAGCAATAAAAATAAAAACCAAAAACCAAAGTAACCCTTAGTTTTGTAACCATATAGACTAAATAACAATTATATCTGAGGTAAAAAATTTAAGGTAAACGCCTTAAAGCTTTCCCCCGTATATCTGTTGTGTGTCAATATTGTGACACGGCATGATTTGTTCCCACATCCTGATATACCTAGGAATATGTGTCTTCCATATTCATCCACTTGGCGCGTCGCATGATGATCGGCAATAAATTGATGCGTGGCACGAACCAGAGTTGCCGGCACAAAGTGGACTGAGTCAGCTAAATGCAAACTCCCTGACTGATGTGCTCGGGCACCTTGGAAAATAAGCTGCAGTCCTTCACTGCTACAATTTGCACAATAAGATGAAAAGGCTCCCAAGCCCTTTAATTACAATATGTGATTTATGAGCGTGGGATGCGCAACATATTCCCGGCTAGCAAATCGACCCAACAAAAGGGGGAACCCCTAAAAGAAGCCCAAATAATTGCACCTAAAGACATTTACACGCGCTTCTGACATTTACGACCGTCCGACGCCGGAGTGCTCGGATTGTATGTGACATGTGGAGCTGGACAGCCGACGCTGGACAATGCCAGTTACTGGTCATGATGCTGCCGCCCCGGCCGCGCAGAAAACAAACAACAAGGGCCGCAAAAAGGCGAGCGAATAAAACCAACTCACCAACACTACATAAATTTCAAAACTAGCCAGCTCTGGTTGGGGCACCATCCCCTCATCTGCCACACACATTTCACGCAGTGACGACATGAATCCGCCAACATAAACACACTCACCCAGAGGCACAACAAGGACATTGTCCTGAAAAACGGACGCACTAAAGCACACACGAAGCATTAGAGAGGCCCCACAGCGGAAAAACTCAAACCGAATAGGATAACTAGCGTACGAATGGCCGGGTATCTGGCTCTCTACAAGATTCTTCGGTATCATAAGGACTATTTTCTACGTATTTTCATACGAATTGGTAAACATTCTATTATCATCGTTTGTTTACCTGTTAGTGGGATGCATTTAAGGACGTCATAAAATGTATTGTCCAACCATAAAACGTTAGGAATTATTTTGAAAGGGAACCCAGGCGAAACTGGTAGGCATACAACAAGTTTTTCGTAAAACAGGGACTTATGAGTCAAATGTACAGGCTGTAGAAAACCCACTCTTAATAGAATATCAATATTTTCTTAATAATTATGTAGGAATTCTGTAATTAATTCTGTAGGAATTATGTAAATATAATTCTGCTCTGATCTTTGATATATTTCATTTCTCCGCGTACTGATAATATTTTAAGGCTTACTGATCTTCATCTTCAAATCGATTTTCGAACCTGTTATAGTTCTCAACTATTATTTTACCTATCAGAAATTCTCTTTTTGACATGGTTAAAATCATTACTCCCATGGTCACAATTTTTAAAAAGTAAAATTCGCAACTGTTGTGCGATTTAGCGCTTTATGTTCCAGAGAGTGGACAACGTCATGAAGCGTATTCAGAGGCTGCGCCGGACGGGATCCAGAGAGGAGGTGGAGCGCGGAGTTGGGGAGGATAGATGGTGGCACAAGGGAAGCGGGGATGCAGGGGTCCCTGGACCTGTGGACACTGTGTGTCCTGGCGTGCAGCCGTGGCCAAATTGGTTGATAGCTCGAAAAACAGTTTTTGCACAGCTCCGTCAAATTGCATTTGGTGTGACAGACCGCAAAATGCATCATCACCAACATGAGCGATGAGTGTTGTTGTTCTAGTTGTTGCCGCTCCGTTGTTGTTGATGTTTATATTTGTCAGGCCCCGTTCCTCCTGCCCCTGCCTCTGGCCAGTGTCCACCCATCAGCATGGCCTCTCCACATTGTCCAGTAATTTACGAGCTTTTTTCGGCATGTCCACAGGAGTGGGAACGCAATGTGTTGCCTGCATTTCACTTTGCCCGGTTGATGACGACGAGGATGGAGCTTGGAGGGACAGAGAGTCTGGGAAAGTGTTGCTAAACCGTGGGCTAGGAGGCGGAGTGTGTGGAAATAGAGAGATCATTGCCGGGAAAGTGTTTTTGAGGTTAAGCTTTTCAGTACACTATTTTTGGGGGAGTCTAGGAAGGAGTCGGCGAACAGTGGTTCGAAATAAATTGTGTTAGAGATTTCAAAGTGATTTCATTAACATGGATATTTAGTAAAATCTCAAATAGTATAAATAATATATAATAAGGTAACACCATAGAAACTGTCGAGTGTAAATGTCGATAAGAAACTGTGCACTCGATATTGTTATCGACCGTGTATGATCGATGAGGTGCGATCACTACTTAGAGAGAAGACGTATAACAACCTTGTGAGAGAGAAACATCCTTGTTAAACTAACATAGAGAGCGCCAACGAGTATTAAATAAAGTTTAAAGGTTAAAAATCCATTGACTTATAACTCAAAAGTTGTAGCTTTGTTTTACAAATAAAATTTATTAAAGTGAAATAAGCTAAATTCAAGTGTCTTCCTTAGTCAAATATGGGCAGCTCAAAAGTGGTTATAATTCGAAGTACAGTTGCCAAACGACTTAAAAAAGGATGTCAAGGAGTTAACATATCCCTCATGGTGAAGGTGATAAAGCCTGTATATGCAACCAAGCGACTTACAACGTGACTGTAAGTTTGATCCTCAACATCAATTGTTAGACCTAAATTAACTTGAATAATATTCAGATTTTTACCGAACATTAAATTAAACTAATTTTCGAAGCTAAAAGTATGAAAAACGAATAAATATTTCCCTTTTAGCAGTAAAAGAATATCGTGTTTATTTAATTTGCAGTTTCCATTGCATTTGTTTATAAAAATGTAAAACCACACGGTCATAATACTGCATTATGTCTCTTCAAAAAATGTTTTTAGATATGATGAATTGTGAAGCATGATCGCATAGCAATATCAACTAAACTTATGGAGGGTTTTTCCTTAATAATGAACGATTAAACAAAGGATGAACCAAGAAGATGACGGGCAGACAGAGATTAAGCGAGAGTGAATAAATAAGTTTATAACTTATAACTAAATATATTGTGAATATCTTTCAGAATTTAATCATCGCTCTCGTGTAGCAATGCAAATCAAGTTTTAAAGACCTATTTGAAGGACATGAGTGATTCCGTTTTGATCCCACTGTTGGAGCCTTGTTGGAGCGAGAAACGACGAACAACTTCATTTATTTTCAGTTCACATTAATGTAGCGTGAATTAAGTGTCAAGGACATTTTTTGGTTGTGCTGCCAACGACGCAACATGTTTCAGTCTCTGGCTGTGAAGCAGGCACCTCCATCTTCGGCCTCTGTGTCCATGTCCTTGCACTCTGGCACTGCGGTGGGTGGTATGTTTGTCATGTGTCCTCGCAGCTGCGTGTGTGCCTGGGTGTGTTTCAGCCGTGGGTAACCGAAAATGCATTGCAACATTCAAGTAAGTGACGTAAATGCATCACGGACCCAGCACAACACACTCACGCACGTTGGCTGGTCCGGCGGACGGACGGAGTATATCATCGTCATCATCATCATCGGGATGCGAGCGGACATCCCCGCACAGAGCGCACATACGCTCAGGCAGGCATCAGAGGCAGTTATGGCTGTCAAGATGAATGCCATATCATTGCCGCACCGAAAATGGTGTCAAAACGTCACCAACGGCGGTTCAGCCCTTCAGCAGTAAAACTGCAAACAGAAAACAGGACCTCCACCGTTGTTATCCGGATGAGTTATGAGTTGTGCTCGGCCGGAGACAAAGGAGGAGCCCCTGGCCCCCAGCACCGGGCTTCACTGCATTACAGTCAGCCTGCCACATACATAGGTCTAGGCTTGTGGGAAATTCTTTGAAATCCGACTTATATGTATATATTACAGCGGGGATGTACCGAATTAGCACTGCAGAGACATGGAGACATCGCAAAGCAATAGAGAACGAGATCAACTTATAGTGAAACTTGGAGTTACATAGTTTTAATGATTTCGCTGTTTAGGGTGGTAAGTGTAAGTATTTGATTCATTCACTCATCGTAGGAGCCAATCCACAATTAAATATAAAATCGGATCAAGTTTAAAAATTTATCAAATCGGTCGGTAATCATTGGGTGCCAGGGTATTATGGCCAAGGTTTAAGGTACATTTTATAGTTTTATAAAATTTTGAATGAAAATGTTTCGGTTTGGAAGACCAATGGATGTTGCTCAACATGTACCAACATTTGTTACTAGCAATTGTCAAAATTTGGCTTCTTTCTTAACATTCTCCTCTGCTCTCCAAACTTTTTAATTTAAGGATTTCTTAAATTTAAGAATTAGACCAATGAAATGAGTCATTTCGTTGCACTTTCGTTGCTCTGGGTAACGGACATCTCACAGTCGGTCACGACTGTAGCTTTCCACTTGTGATTGAATGTTTTATTTTACTGCCTTTCTGTAAAATCTAATTGTATCGTATTTTAGTTATAAAATATTTCTAAATTTCAAAATTCTATTTGAAACCTTTTTAGATTATATAGAGCAATAATTTTAGTTAGCAATAATCTTAACTTTCTTTCCACAAACAAAAACTACCTAGGATAACCGATTATATGCGTGAGCTGTGCTGCAGCGTAGCTACTGCGAACTGGATCGCAAGTAAGCAATGCAAACACACCTCCATTATTCCCGGCTGTTCAGTTCATACGTGATTTACTAATCAGTTGCAAATTATAAAACCATACAATGGCTATGTTCACACTTGGCAGCATGTGTCGGGCGGCATTAGAAACCGAAAGTCGAAAGATTCGAAAATAAAGGGTAATTCGAACCCGTTGAATTGGGAATTTTCGGTAGCACACAAATTCCATGTCGCTAATCGGAAATTAATTAATGTCACAATTTTGAAGAGGACCAAGGAATCCACGCTTCAAATTTGACCTTCTCCGTTTTCGGTTTCTCCTAATTGGTATTAGTTTCCTCAGCCTTACTCTCTTTATTGTGTTGTGTGTGTTGGTTAGCCAGGTTAACTCTTTGATTGGGTGTCGTCTGCGTTCACTTTGGCGTGAAACGTCCGAGGGAATTACTTGAGCCGTTGTTACAATTGATGAGCCAGCAGAAAATTGTGGCATGTGGTTATGGCTTTTGGGCTGTTGTATCGAGTTTCAGCTAAAGGATTTTGCCGGCAGAAATGCTAAAGATCTTAGGGTCTCACAAAATATTTAAAGTTTCGTATTCGAAAACAAATAAAATACGTTCAGAAAAAGATCACAGCTTACTTGGACCTTTAATTTGGTTAATCACCGCGGTCTGAAGCAATTCAAAAACGTTTGAGTATAACCTTTGGCCGAATAATTAGTATCTATTTGTATTCCCTTTAATAAGTAAGTAATATTATAGGAAAAGTGAACACTCTTTAACAAACCCATCCAACATGGAATACAAAATGGAATTTAAGGCGTATCTTTAAAGGAAGCAGGACGACTACCATTACTTCAAAATCGATTATTGATTTCCGTTTTGGCCGTTGCCGGAGCAGCCTAGTTCGTCGGAAAAGTGTGGAGAAAAAAACTCGGTAAAAGCCACGAAAAACAAACACAACGAAATAGAGAGGGCAGGAAAAAGAAGAAAAAGGAAAGGAGAGTGCCGACCGGCGAGCGCCAATGAAGGGCGAAATTGGTTTGGTTTTTGCATGTGAATTTCATACGAAAATCAACAAGTTGCCATTGGGTTCGATGAATGGCAAAGTGGGTTGCCAGGCCTTGGGTGGGCTTGGCTGGGGAACTTGAACTCTGGGCCACGGCGAAAGAAAGAGCTCCGGCAGTCGGCAGACAGGAGGCAGACGCTCGCCTCGCCTCGCCTGGCCTCGCTGCCAAGGCCGACACGCACACACATATTTAAGCCAGAAGGAGGTGGGGTGTGTGGGGAGGAACGTGAAAAAATCGCTATTTGGGGCTTTTTGTGCCTCGCCAAGGAAATTCAACTCCAAACCAAACCGAACCGAAACCGAACTTCTGGAAAAACAATTTCTGCTTAACTTTTTTCCTGCTGCCCCTCTTTTGTTGTCAGTGGGAGGGTGGTGGCAGTGGGAGGGGGCGAGGGGCCGTGGTTCGTGGCCTATGCCACACGGCAGACTATTGCGATATAATTCCATGATTCTGCTGCGGCCTTGTCCTAGTCCCCCATATATGTATCTGGCCCCTGCAATGTGTGTCTGTGTGCTGGTAGGCATTTTTCGAAAAAATTCCCAAGCAACAAGCGGCTGGCGAACGCTTCACTTCCTCACCTTCGCGCTGAAGGCGACGCAAATTGTTTGCCTCTCAACGTGAATTACGACGCCCGATTCGTCATCAATCAATCAAGGGTCCTCGTTCTCCCAACCCATCACATCCCATTTCATTCCATCCTGTCCCGAACCCACCTACCCATACGCCCTATGGCCCCGATATCGGACGCACTTATCGTCGTCACCAGTCCCATCAACATCATCATCATCATTGTCGGGACAACAGCCATCCCAGTGACTCGATGTGTATTCCATCAAAGTGATTCCACTTTGTTATTGCGTTGCGGTTTATTCAATTGGTCTAAGGAATATAGTAGCTCTACGTTTCCAACTCGATTAAAGCCATTTTTTAGAATGGTCACCTACTCAGAGGATCATATTAACGGTTTAATAATTCGATTTTTGCTGTACTTGAATATATGAATTGCTTATAGACCAGCTTTACGGCAGTTTAGTTTGTCCAAATATTTGCTAAACACCAGTATAAAAACATACATAATACTGTGAGATCAATTTATAATTAATAAAATGTTAAAGAACTCTAAATTGTACTGTAGTATTTATTTTTAGATCTGCCGATTTTCTCATCATAGTCATCTTTCTTGAAAAATCGAATCGAAATCCAGTGTCAGATCAATTTATAATTAATAAAATGTTAAAGAACTCTAAATTGTACTGTAGTATTTATTTTTAGATCTGCCGATTTTCTCATCATAGTCATCTTTCTTGAAAAATCGAATCGAAATCCAGTGTCATAACCGCCGAACTAGCACTCTAAATTATTAACGTTTAGGAAAGAAATAGTTAAATCTTTAATAAGTACTGCAAGGATATAAAAAAGCCAAAAAGTAATTTCAGTTATATAATTACTAAAATGAATAAAAATCTTTAATCTAAAGTGCAAATTAGTGCAATTCAACTTAGCCTTAAGCGTTTGTTTCGATACTATTTTTGTTTCCCAATCCTTAACACCCTTCTTTAATACTCAATTACAACTCAGTAGACAGCTTACAGAGATCGCCTCGTGAATTATGACACTTCAATTTTATTAATTGCCAATAAATCAGGGGCCATAGGGTATCCAAAAATGAAGAAATTGCTGCCAGCCTGCACAAAACACTGAGACTGAGATGGGGACTGAGCCGAGAACAAAAGCCACCGACAATCATTCAGTTTGCAAATTGGCCAACATTGAAACAGACAGGCTAAAGCTGCAAGCGAATTGGAACAAGGCTCAATGCCCGCCCTGACAGATCTCACATCAAACGTCAAACGGAGGAGGCCTTGGCCAACGAGCGGACGGATGGACGAGAGCACGGATAGATGGATAGATGGATGGATGGATGGATGGATGGATGGACGGCTGGGCAAGTGGAAGGCCAACGGGGTCGGGGAAAAGTGTTGTGAGTTATGACGAGGACGTGCACAAGTTGATCCATCAAACTGTTCAAATCTGATGCCAGTGCACTCGATTTCATGCATTGAACGATGACTGCGACGAGGACGCCGACGTCACCGCTCATGACGGATGGCTATGACTGTGGCCGACACGGAATCGCAAGGACGGACGGAAGGACGCCGGATGGCGGACGGCGAGGCCTTGGCCATGTCCAACCTTAGACATGACGAATGTCTCACGCTGCGGATAATTTGATTTGTCGATGCAAACGCAAATCCACCAACAGGGCGCATAAATAATTTGTGTAGTGTACTCTCTATCATTATGGGAAATCGATTGTCGGGCAACTAACAGGGGCTTAGTCGGCGGCTTAGATCGCCGACCATGGGAATTTGTTTGGTTGGATTCTCAACAAACACTGAATGCTGTGCATAGAAGAATCAACGACTAGTCTCCGGGGATGCTTCACAAGAATGAGAAACAGCTCAGTCTATTTTTTCTTTGTAATAGAAACACTTTAATACGTCAAGCATATAATCTATATTTTTGTGCGATATTTAAATGATTATATAAGATTTATAAGCTTAATAAACTAAAATCAAGAAAAGAAAAAAATTTCTAAAAATAAAGCTTTCAATCAGATCTTTGAAAATCAATTCAAATAAAAAGGAAAAATACAGTCTGAATATGCCCGAAAGTGTGTATAAAATTAAAAGAAACATGGACATTGATAATTTGCTTTGTCTAACTATACACCGATTAAGAAATTAAAAAGAAGCCATTGAAATTTGCAATTGGATCCTTAAGAATATATATTAATACATTACCTATGATAACTTGGTTATTATAATATTTCAAAACATTATTTTTAAATCAAATAAAATAACTATATTTTAAATTTGAAAATTTCTTATTTAATAAAAATTTTAATTGTATATACTGAAAGAAAGCAATGTCAATGTTCATAAACTATCCATTTAAATATTGTATTCATAGTTTTCCAGTTACAGTTTTACATTCACACCTTTAGATTTTTCTCTATATGTGCCGATCGTTCCTATGGCAGCTTATGATATACATACATATATAGTCATCAGATTTGGAACAAATTAAAACCGAAGTTCCCAAATATTATAATACAAAATGTCCATGAACATACATGTATATTAAATAACAGAAAAGTTAATTTGTTGTATTAATTTTTTTATCCTTCCCGTGGCAGCGATATGATATAGTTGTCTGATCCGGCCCTTGAGAATAGTCACACTCTCTGCAAAATTTCATTCAGGTAGCTCCAAAACTGAAGGACTACGGAAACAGTCAGACATAGCTAGATTAACTCGGCTGTTGATGATGATCAAGAATATATGGCAACATATTGCGCAACACCCAAATAAAGACAAATGTTGCTA